GATATATTTGTCTCTACTAAAAAACCACATATGACATATATATATGTGTTTCAGATTAAGTGTATCCATGTGATAGAATTTACATATATGAATATGCCACTTCAGAGTTAAACTAATACATCATTCCATTGTACTCTGTGTTTGCTTCCTATGAAATAAGGCATGTCCTTTAAAAAACTACTCTCAGAATGCAATTCATAAAGTGATACACATGATGCCCTTTCAGTAACAATATTGCAGACCACAGTGCTTAAAAGGAAAATGAGAGGGGAGAGAGAGAGAGAGAGACAGACAGAGACAGAGATAGAGACAGAGACAGAGACAGACAGAGATGACAGAGACAGAGAGAGACACAGAGAAACAGAAACAGAGAAACAGAAACAGAGAAACAGAAACAGAGACAGATACAGAGAGACAGACAGACAGAGAGAGAGAGAGAGAGAGAGAGAGAGAGAGAGAGAGAAGAAAAGTGTCTGTCTGCCACAGAGGCAGGCTGCCTGGGCAAGGCAGGTAGGAGAAAACAGGGGATGTTGGTGTGGGAAATGTGCACTGGAGAAGGGATGGGTGTTGGAACATTGCATGACTGACTGAGACTTGATGATAAATAACTTTGTAACTGTGTATTTCATAGTGATTCAAAAAAAAGTAAGAATTTATAACTCAGGATGAGGTTTACATGAAACACAGTTATAAAACACCTGCAGTAAATTTAATGGTTGAGTTAGAAATAAACAGTTTTAAATTAATGAGATATTAAAATAATTTAACATGCAGTATTTAGTTTTACAGGGATATATTTAGTAAATATTGAACAAAATATGGAAAGTTATACTATATAGAAGATGAAATTTAGCTGGAAAATGAAATAATTTTGTTATAATTTAAAACCTATAAAACACAAAATTAAAGTGCAATAATTGCTAATTATACAAAATAAAGTGAGAGGGCTTTGAGAACAGAAATAACATATTGAGGAGAAAATATTTAATATGTATCTTATATGAAATAAGATATTGAATAACAATCTTGGAAGAAAACAAAAGTAAAATATTTCTAGATGGTATATCATTAAAGATATTTGCAGAAAAGATTAAGAATAATTTTATACATCTTCTGAGGAGGTATTTTGAGAATGAACACCATATGTACAGAAACTTCTCTTTTAGTGAAATCAAATGAATAAATATAATGTTTTTCATGTTTTAAATATAAAAATGTATCTGTTTCTATAGTCTAAGAGTGGTAGCTTGACTGAAGCAACATCTAATTTAATAATATATGTACATTTAATTTTTAATGATAGTAATTTTATATGGCCTATAAATGTAATCCAAATATCAAAAATTGATTTGTTTCTGACCCAAGAGCTAAAACTAGGAAGCTCTAGGTCATCTTGTTCAAATTCAATTGGGATTGTACACATCAAATGCTCAATTTTTTTTTCCCAGATCTCCATTTTTGTATATGACCAAAATGTGTCATGAATGTAATTTAGGACTTCATGTATATTTCAGTGATTATGTGAATTTTCAAAGTCAAAATATGTGAACAATTATTGACTATGTATGTGAAAGATCCTAAAAGAAAATGAAGGAATCGATTCTGAGGATAAGAGGAAAATGTATCTGAGTCAGAAGAAAGAAAAACTGGACAGATAAGTATGTAAAATGATAAACAATCCAGAAAAGTTCCTGAATTATGATAGGTTTTGAGTTTCTTACCCTGCACTCACCCTTCCTCCTCCCTATTTGATTAAAATATATGTCATCCAAGATATTGAAGTATTACCAGAAATGTGGTGGTACTCGTTACATAAACACTCACAATGAAAAGTATTAGAAAAGTAGCACCGTAGCACTGTCCTCCCATTGTTCATCGATTTGCTCGAGCCGGCAGCAGCAACGGCTCCGTTGTGAGACTTGTTACAGAGCTTGCCAGGCTCTGCTGTGCAGGGGCGGGGCGGGAGGGGCGATGCTTTTGGCAGCTTGCTGGGCTCTCTGAGAGGGACAGAGGAATCAAACCTGGCCATTCATGTGCAAGGCAGACACCCTACCCATTATGCAATCGCTCCAGCCCTAGACAGAAAAGTAGCACTGTAGCACTGTCCTCCCCATCAATTTATGGAGTGGGCACCAGTAAGGTCTCCATTGTGAGACTTGTTGTTACTGTTTTTGGCATATCGAATATGTCAGGGGTAGCTCGCCAGTCTCTGCTGTTTAGGTGGGATACTCTCGGTGGCTTGCCAGACTCCTGAGAAGGGTGGAGGAATCGAACCCCGGTAGGCCGCACACAAGGCAAATGCCCTACCCGCTATCACTTTGACCCAGAAAGAAAAGGAAGCTCAAAAACTTTCTTCCATTTCATTTTACTTTAGGACTTTAATGTATTGCTTATAGATGACCTATAAATGTAATGCAATAAATGTAATGAAATTCTAAATGCACATTTTTATAAATGACAGTGACTATTAATAATCTAAAGTCAATCTAGTACTATTTAAGTTAACTGCAAAAGCAATATATGATGAAGTTTCCTGAAACATAGAGCAGATATTTTTGAATGAATTTTCTGGAACAATTGTTTTAAACTCAGAATTCTAACTTAAAGGGTACTAGTAAAATATCTTCTCTCATTAATTTCTCTCTGTGTTTAGTTTTTGGAGGTCTGTTCTAAGCAGTGCTAAGGGTTTTGGGAGAAATAATTATTTCTTAACAAGAAATAATTGCCCAAGACCCGAAGGATGCTTCAATGCTCGGACCAATGAATGTGGCAATGCTGGGCGCGGTGGGGGCAGGGGTCATGTGATATCAGGAACTCAAAAGTGGGGTCGTACTCTTGGGAAGCACAGGTTTCTGTCCCCAAGTCCCTGCAAAGTTCTTAAAATCTAGAAGAGAGTTTTCCTGGAAGGGCTGGGTTGGAGGTGGAGAATGGAAACAGGGAAAAGCATGAGAAACAAGTCCATTAACACACGGATACTGGCACTTTGAAAAGAACATTCTTACCTGCAAAATAAGTTTAAAAAGAAGCTTTTCACAACCCCCATTTAACTCAATGAGTGAATTGTGAAGGATAAATGGGACCTATTATAACGTTGCGTTTCTTATGCAATATTCATAATCATGGCTTTACATAAGAGCAAGCTCACATTAACAAAGGGAGCAATTTGAATTCCCACTTCCTTGAAGAATGGGCTCTGCTTGACAGCTGGAGCTGTCCTGTCCCTTAGCAGCACGCCCCAGCCTCTCTGCAGCGCCAAGGAGCCCCGCTCTCATATCAGCGATATAATAAACCCTCCAAAACAGAGAGAGGAATGTGGCAAACAAGCCCACTGCTTTTCAACTTGTCAGCTTTAAATAAGTCTACTGGAGCTGAAAATGAGAAACTTGAGGGAAAATAATGTGTGAAGTAACCAAATTCAATAGTGGGACGATACATATTACATTATTTTTAAAAATCTCCCACAAGCTTTTGAGACTTCATCGGTTTTGTTTGTTTGTTTGTTTGTTTGTTCGTTTTATGAACCATCTCTTGTAAATGAGACCTTAAAGAAACGTTTATTCTCCCAAGCCTTCCACCCACTGATGCCTTAGGAAATATCTTGCTGTCTCAAGCCTCTATGATCTTAATTAGTAGTCAGAGGCCTCTGGAACTCTTCGTATCAGTTCCCAAGTCAGAGATGATATAGCAGAGCGTGCTGAAAGAAAAAGTACGTGATTTCTGTTCTTATTTTAATAATTTACATAATAACTTCCTGGCAGTAATCTTAAATGCATGTTATTAGTGTCCTGTCTGCCTAAAAAAGAAGACAAAATGTACCTGGAAAGAAGAAGGAATATTGAAAAGAAATTGACATTCTGACAAACAGAAATATCTAAATTAATTAAACAGTATTTGTTCATGAAAATCTTTCCATCTCTCTTTCTCCAGTGCCACTCTCTCTAACCAGGCTTATTAACACTCTTGATTTTCATTCGAAATACTACATTCTGCTCTGCCATTTATCTTTCTCCAAATATTTTCCTTTTCCTTTGTAACGTTACATTTTCTTTGCTGTCAAATTTACCTTGATTTTATCCTTACTGAAAGATAATTTATACTATAGCTTTCTGCATATACACAACAAACTATTTCTGTTACACAAGGGGAAGTAGATGGCCACAAGTCACATCTTTTCACGACTGGCATTCCCCTGTATTTTCCAAATAAGTTTAGGAAGATTTTGATATTTTGTTATACTCACACCATAATGAGGTGGACTTTCTGATTTCAAACTCATTTTAATATCTCTAGATTTATTTAGTAGATAAAATGATTATGATGTTAAGTGTATATTTCTCCCTTCACCATACTAGATAAACCATTGTTAAGAAGTTCTTTCAATCACTCTGATATAAATCAGAACTTCATCAGTATGTCTCTATGTGTCAGTCTTAAAAATGAAAGAATGGATAAATTATGAATTAAAAGACTTCAAAGGCTCTCATAAACCACTATATGAAAGAATGACCATAATCAATATCTTTTAACTTTGTATAATTAATCTCTAAAATGAAAAAAATCATATGATAATTTAATTAATGACAGTCATGTTTTAGAAATATTTGTCATTGCTGTTTTATGATTACAAGAGTAAAGAATATTAAAGTCAACATGACCTAGAAATTAAGTATTCAGTAAATAGCCTGGCAGTAAATAATTAGACTTCAATGCATATACTGCATTTTGCACCACTAAGCTTCTTCTAAGGATATTAGGCTACTCTCTCTGTCTAGGTAAGTGACACTGGTGCCTTCCAGCACTCTTAGACTCAACATTCTCATTCTTTTTTTCACTTTAGATTTGAGAAGCTACTTTATTAATGTAATTACGTAGGCATAACGCCCAGTGGTCTGAGTAGATACTTAATGGTCAGTATTCTCAAAAGGAAAACAAGTATACGCTACGTATACGAATTTGCTAAAAAGACAATTCTAAGCTGAGAAATGTTTGTTTCTCCACAGTGACGGCTGGGCTGACAGGTATGACGTGACAGATGGGTATCAGCGAGAAGCTGTTGGTGGTATCACAATCAAGCTCCAATCTCCTGATGTCAAGTGGTTTGATGATTATTACCTGAAGCTCCGGCCAGAAACAAACCTTCGAAATCCTTGGTTCCAAGAATTTTGGCAGCATCGCTTTCAGTGCCGGCTCGAAGGGTTTGCCCAGGAGAACAGCAAATACAACAAGACTTGCAATAGTAAGCAGATTCATTGTTTTATTTTAAGTTAATAAAGCTAAGACTTAGTTCAGTTTAAGTAGACTAGATCACGGGGATAGAAAAGAATTTGTTAGAGAGGAAAACTGACATAAATTAGAGTAGATATTTCTGCCTCCAATGATATAAAGGGTTTTATTCTTACTGAGAAAAAACATACTTGAACAAATATTAATCTGAATTCAAACAATTTGATCAGCTATATTTATACCACTTGAAATTGGTATGTGCCCAAAGGATAATGTGCACAATAGAGCGGAACTATTCTTGACACCCTTTAAGGTAAGAATTAGATTCTGTTCATTTCTATTATATTTAACAATGATCACAGTGGTATGCGGGTCGTAAGGAGTTTTTACATGTTTGCAGAATGAATAAGTGAATATCAAAGGAGAAAATAATTCCTACTGTCATTGATAAATCACAAAAAAATTAGAAATTTTCTTTATATATTGTGGGAGAGATAATCTGAGTAGAACCATTCATTCATTTATTGTATTTCATAATTAATCACATATTTCCCTGCTTGTAAGTACACCAAGATGGAAAACTAGTTCCTTCATTCAAGAGGTTTGGGTACTAGTATAGGAGATAGATACACAAACAAAAATTGTAATTCAATGTCTTAGTTGATATTATTAGGTCTATACAAAGGGTTTGGTATATTTGTACCATATCCAAATGGAGTTTTGGCTTAAATGATTTCTATTGATATATATGCCAGAGAGAGTTAAATTGTGTTACAATTAGTAAATTAGTAAATCAGCATGGGTCTTGCTGAGACTGGCATATCCCATGTACGTGACATAAAGCTTATATGTATTTGCATAGCACCAAAGTATTTTATTGCCTTCATTATGTTGCCAGAATATATGAGTTCAATAGGTCTGAAATCTGAACTTAATTAATTCAAATCCACAGAGAGGCTGTAACAACATATCAGCACTAAAATGAAGAAAAACACAAGAAATGTAGTAGAATTTTATAATGCATTCTAAACTCCCAGGTTCATTTCCGTTCAAATATTTTACATTGATTTGGTTTTCTGTGTTTAAAATGATATCATAAATAGCATGTGATTATTTTTTAATTTCATTACTTGGTAAATAAGAACTTGGAAACTTTAAGTCAGCCCTTATTTGTATGTGGAACAGAAGAGAGATACTGGCCTTTCTTTGCAGTAGTGAATGAAATCTCAAAATTGCACAAGCAGGCTATAAGCAAAATCTTTGATACTCTGTTTTTTAAATATTAGTAATATTTGTATGAAACTTCAAATCTTTATTCATGTCCTTTGTTTTTATGAGAAACTATCAGAATAATTATATTATGACTTGAAAGTTTTATCATTTTAAAATTTCATTTTTGTTTGCTTGGGGTCCCATTCAGCCATTCTCAGGGATTATTCATGGCTCTATACTCAAGGATCATTCTCTGTGGGCTTGAGGGACTATAGAAGATTCCAGGGATCAAATCTGGGGTGGCCTCATGCAAGGCATTCAGTCACTCTGCCCACTGTACTCTCTCTGGTCCCATAAGAAGTTATGCTTTTTTAATTTTTAACTTTTTATTTCTTTGGATTTTTATATTTTACAGTTCTATTACAATAAATAATCTCAATATTTTACAGTGCTATTACAGTGCTATTACAATACATAATCCCAATACTATATCCCTCATTACTGTAGCAACTCTGTTTCCCAAGTACCTTCACCCCGCCGCTAACCCAATTGTGTAGCTCAGTTCTCCACTTATGCTGCCTTTGGACCTTTGTTTCTGAAAACACAGACTTCTTTCCAAATGGCATAAGAACATATTTCTCTCATTTTTCTGATTAATTATTATATACCATTTTATTAGTCACATTGGAGAGCATACAGTATGTTGCATTGCATCTTCAGATATTTAAGGCATTTCTTGCAATCCCTGACCAAAGTGACTGAGGGAATTTTTCCAAATTGGCCTCTCCCCTTTTCTTTAAAAAATATATTTGTTTTCCACACTTTTTTTAAAAATCAGAAATACTTCCTCTTGTTTTTTTTTTATTAGTGAAACACCATGAGGCACAGTTATAGACTTACAAATTTTTGTGCTTGGGTTTCAGTTATACAACGATCAAATACCCTCCACCAATGCCCATCCTGCACCACCACGGGTCCCAGCATCCCTCCTACCCTCCATCCCCCCATCCCACCTTGCCTCTGTGGCAGGGAATTCCCTTTTGTTCTCTCTCTCTCCTTTTGGGTCCTGTGGTTTGCAAGAGAGGCATTGAGTATCAATCATGTTGGGTCTATAGTCTCCTTTCATCATGCTTCTCCCATCCTGGGAGGATCCTCCCAACACCCTTTATTTGGTGCTCTCTTCTCTATATGAGCTTCCTTTTCCCCTAGCACATGTGGCTGGCCTCCAAGTCAGGGAGCAAAATTCCTGGTACTAATCTCGACCACTTTTGGGTGTTAGTCTCCCAGTTTGTTGCTTTATGTTCCCCAGATGAATAGAAATGCTTCCTCTTGAAAACACTGTTTCTCTTACTTTTATTTCTATGTATCTTTGACATAAATTTTTTGTTTTCCATAGAAATTTCCCCCATGGAAACTGTTCTCTAAAACAGTGTTTGATCATCTTCCTAAAGTTCTCAGTATCCCATGTGAGAACATAGATTACATTTCTCTGCTCAGAATTTAATTTTTATTGCAAAGCACTTTTCTGCCCTCCACTAGAATCTTACCTAATGGTAGGTATCATTTTGTACATATGCATAGACACTTAAGTATAATACTCTATTATTCTTCTCAATGAGAAATTACTATTTTCTTCATCTTACAATAAAATCAAAGTACAAAGATAAAAAATAACTTCTTAGAAGTCATATAGTTATTAAATACAGTAAGAAGATTTTGGCCAGGATTATGTATTGTTTAACCATGTACTAACTAGAAATTTATAGGTTAAAAAGACCACCACGAAATTTAAAGTATATATAACAAATATATGTGAAAAATACAAAAAAGAAAGATATGCCATGACTGTTTTTAAAAATTTAATTCTGCCTTTTCCTTGATCATTGTGTATCATGCAACTACTTTTAAGGTTCAATTGTAATAAGTATTAGTTTTTACTTGATGTCTGACAAGAAGCTTCAACTTATTTGTTCACTTAATAGATATTTTAATAAACAACATGGTTTCACATAAAGAATAGAACTACATATAGGTAAAATAAAATGTAAAATTTCTGAGATGAATCTCAACCTAGTAGTTTTTTATATCCTCATATATTTTATTGACATCATTGATTAATAATACTCTGTTTTTTTCAAGGGAGTTAGAATAACCTCTAAATGTTTATAGTATCTCCATAGGTCTATGGTATGAACCAGTGTTCCAAGGTCATCCAAACATAAAATATATTCCTCTACCCCAAGCCCTTCTTTTCTTTCCCTCTGGACTATTGATGAGATGACCAGAGCTCTCATCTACTCTAAGGAGCTTGGCTGGTTTTCGCCAGGTTCATCTGCCTTCATTATTCAAATTCCATGTAGGAGAAAAAGCATCTGGCAATAGTCTTTCAAATTTTTATACTTTGTTTTCTAGGCACAACCATTTTAATACCCATCCATTATGTGTCAAAGGCATGATTTTATCATTTTTTAACATAACTGTTATGTGTATCACTGAGTACATAACAGTTTCTTTATCCAGTTATCTGCTGATGGACATTTAGACTGATTATACACTTTAGCTATTGTGATTGAAGCACTTATGAAGACAGGGGTACAGATAATCTTTCCAATGAGTGTTTTATTATTCTTTATAAAAATAGTTGGGAGTGGCATTTTATGATAATATGGGATTTTTAATGTTTAGGGTTTCTTTTTTAAGGAAAAAAGCTTTCACAGGACCAGATCAATTTGTATTCCAATTAGAAGTGTATAGAATTTCATTTCCCACATCTTTGCCAGCACTTGTTTCTTGCACTCTTTTTTATATTGGTTATTCTCACAGGTGTAAAGTAATATGTCACATTTGGCTTTAATTTGATTTTCCTGCTTGACAGTGCATGTTTTTATGTATATGTGGACCATCTATAAATCTCATTTTGAGAGAAATGTCTACTTAGGGATGAAGCGATAGCACAGCCGGTAGGGTCTTGCACGCAGCCGACCTGGGTTTGATTCCTCCCTCCCTCTCGGAGAGCCCAGCAAGCTACCAAGAGTATCCCGCCCACACGGCAGAGCCTGGCAAGCTCCCTGTGGTATATTTGACTTGCCAAAAACAGTAACAACAAGTCTCATAATGGAGACGTTTCTGGTGCCCACTTGAGTAAATCGATGAACAATGGGATGACAGTGAAGTGCTATAGTGTTTACTTAGGTCTTTTGCTCGTTATTTTCATTGGTTTCCCTGTTTTTGTCTTATTTACATGTTTAACTTTATATATATTTTTATATTAACCCCTCAACAAATATAATTTCTTTTGCTATGTAAAGCCTTTAAAATGTTTTATTATAGTTTATATAGTTATAATAGTGTTCAGTTTATGATGTTAAAATTACTACATTTCATCACTGTAATAACACTTTTTAGCAGCTATCCCTAAATCACAGAAACATTAATTTGAAAACATATATGCAAAAATATGTTCACTGCAGCACTTGGTATATAGCCAGGATATGGAAACAATACAAATATCTGACTTTTGGATCAAGAAATGTGGTATTGAGTGAGAGAGATAGAACAGTGGATAAGGACTTGTCCAGTGCAGTAAACCCTGGCACTCCATATGAAACCCTGAGCACCATCAAGAGTGATCCCTGAGTGCAGACCCAGAAAGAAGCCTTGAATGCAGTCATGTATGACCTCAACCCTGCAGAAAGGAATATAGTATTTATAAACAAAGGAATGCTATGCATCTGTAAAAAAAATGAAAACATGAAGTTTGCTGCAACCTGGATAAATATATCAGGCAAAAAAAAAAGTTTA